AAACGCGATAGATGCGGGGCGACACCTGTCCTGCATACCCACCCACCGTAGTCCCTCCTACCGTTTTCGCTCGTGTTTGTTCAGGTACGTACGCTGGCTTGCTACCAGCAAAAATGTGCTCTTCTGCATCCGATGACCCAGATCCAACAAACGGCATGGTGTTTTTCCCTCCGAATATCCGAACAGTTGCGCTAATTTTACGGTCGAATGAAGCCCGTTCCCGTCCTATCACATGCATGAAGCATATATGTAGGCATCATCTCCCGACAAAACTACACACACAGTCCTCCCATGAACACGCTCCATTTGACCGGTCATTTGTAGCTCAACGGATGCGCAACATGCTAACCAACGGAGGGGCGTTCGCGGCTTGACCAACGGAAATCCCGTGTATACCTGGAACAACCAGAGGCTTCCTCACCCAGCGACAGCAATTTCTGCATGAGACCCCACCGTTTCTATAGAATGCGTTGCTGATTGAAACGAAGAAGTGAATACACGACATACAGATTGAGCAGGAATGCAGGGCGGATGCTTACGAGGGAGCGAACTATTACGACAATTTCGACCACAGCGGTAGCGCCGAAAGAAATCCCACCCAAGCGTAACGGACTCACGAGGCCGTCAGGCTTCCCAGCGATTTGAATGACGCCATCTTCGTCAGCGATGAAATCGGAGATGGCGGGGCCCCTTTAATTGATGTGCTGTTGTCATCCCTATGGCATGCACCAAGGGGGGCAAACGGATGGGGGGGGGGATTGCACTCGGCTGTTTGGGAAACGCGCGGTCGTCGAAGCGAAAACTTCGTACTCGACGATTCCTTTACGATCGTTGAGGGGGATTGCTACCGTTTCGTAAACAGTGATGGTTGCGGCTGATTCACATTCTTCGAGACAAGAGGTCCACACAAGCGTTTTACCCTCTACAGGTATGTCACAAAAGCCTGCGAGATCGGTACTCGACATGCCTTTGTATGTTTCAAAAGTTGCATTGGTAGGAACTTTGGATATGATCCCATCGCGATGAACTGTGTCCAACTAATACTTGGTGGCCCCCAATAGGCAGCGTACTTGGTCGGAGTCATTCCGTTTCACTACATGCCGGTTTTCGAAACTTCCCGCCCCTCAGAGAGAGATCGAGCACCGTGGCTGCGGCACGGCGCCAGCACTTCACGAATGGATTGTTCCTTTCGTCTGAGGAAAAAAAGCTAACATGATATTGGGCTCGAACATTGTTGTTCCCCCTCAACCAAGCATTCGCCCTGGTTAAGCGTTGAACAATGAATTCATTTACCGCCGAGAATCTCGTCTACGTGATCCCAGCCGGATCGGAGCTCGTCTGGTGGGGAGTTGATGAAGCCCCAGGCCAAAACTACGAGTGGAGGGGTGACGTAGGGAATGGCCAAACGTCACCTTGGCGACACCGCAGCCGACGGCGCACTCGATACGCCGGAGACGTTAGAGCCGAGACGGAGAAGCTTTCCCATGGCTAACACCGCCTTGCCGGTGTTTTTCAAAGCCCTCAGGTGGGGCGATGTCGCGGACGCCGATGCGGAGAGCGAGCTCTCGCCCGTCAGCTGCATCACCTGACGAGAGGAGAGAATCAAGCGGGCATTTTCGTGAGGAGGAGAGAGAGGCGAATGTAATGCTCTGTCACCAGACGTGTTCGTGCGTGGGAGGGGAATGAGTTTTGCTACTGTAGCTTTCTTCAGGGCCTGGTTTTGAATGAACAGGTCGTGCGGACTGTCTGCCGAAAAGAAAACTCCCGGTTGACGGCGGCATGCACAAGCGGTCCGACGCAGTCAAGCTGGCTGTACATATCTCGGCAAAAAGTGGTCCGTCGCACCGAGAGTTTGATCCGGTACCATCAGGTGAGGGAGTCCCGTGTAGGTGCCTGAAACACTCTATGCCCACCTGCAACCTGTTCCGCAAACGATACACCTCAAACTCATGACTTCTCCAATACCGTCTACAGTATTCTGTGGGATCATTTCGATCCTACCCTTTCGAGTAGCGTTAGGCTGGTTGAGGTCTCTCTTCTTCGATTGGTTGGGATCTCTTCGATCAGGCCCGCCACTTCCGCACTAAGTCTAGACCATACACATCGAACCAACGCATTGATCATGTGATCAACCGAAACATTGCCATGGTGTCGTTTTCGGCGAGCAACGATGGTCCCCCCCCCATCAACCAAGTTGTTCCAACCACAGGGACGATATTGGTGTATTTTCTATGCAAGTGCTACTGGAAAGGCTCCGGTTCCAATAAATAGATCTATTTCTATATTTTTTTCGCTTAGACGACACGTCGAAACAGGTCTATGCGGATGTCAAGCAATTTGGAGGCAGTTCGTTTCTACGCCGTCTCCTTGGTGAGACAACGTCTTTGTCATGCCTGCAAGGACGTGCGGCATTGGAAGACCCTTAGTTGACAACGCTGCAGTTTCACCTTGAAATTTGCTTCGATGTCGTCCATAGCCTGAGCAAGACCCATCTCGATTCTCAGGGTCTGTGGGCTGATATACCGCCAGGTTGCGAACCACTTTTGATCGTCGGGCGAGACCTGGGGAACAACGTGGTCAAGAATGGCTAGGGGGCGGGGAGATACAGGTCTTCATCGCCAAATCAGAGGGGGAAAGGTGAACGGTCAACCAGTGGACGAAGAATTTCTTACAGGCAACATGAAATAAATTCAACTCAGTTTCCATAGCCTGTACCGTTGTTTTTCCGCTGGTGTACTGGAGGCGCAATTGACGCTACCGGTTTGCTGTAGGTTTCCGGCTCTGAGCCCCAACACCCATGAACCGACCCTGTACCCTTCACTCTAGCCTGAACGCTGACCTTAAGCTATGTTCATTGGAAAGATGCTAACGCAAACGTAGGTAACTTTTCCCTGCATCCTGCTTGTGCAACCACTTTCGAGTCAATTTGTTGAGAACCGTTTGATATGCAGCCAACCCGTCCGGCGTTCTACTGTGTAAGTGGGAACTTTTGGTGCAAAAAAAAATCCGATATCCACTGATACCGTGGGTAAGCTGGCGGATATATGAGTAACATGCTCAGCCTTCGACGACAATTAACCGGTGGCGCACTTCACCGTGTAGTCTGTGCGACGACCGTGCGTACTAAGGAGCCAGTGTTCTCGTCGAGGTTTCACATGGAGGTTGAATCAGCTGCAATACTGGTACGAAGCCTTCTACATACAGCGCGATTTTTTGACAGCGTCAAGTTCGTGTGCTGTTGCACTGTCGCGACATGTATGCTAATAGGGAATTCAGCCGACCGTGACGCGCGTGATAGCAACAACGAACACGACCATCGACCGCGTGTACACAAAACTGACGCTATATCGGCGATGGCTAGATCAACCAAATCGGGACATGTCCGTGACACGAACAACACTAGACGTGAGTCCAGTTTTCTCCATTTCCTCCGGAGCTATGTAGCTGCGCGTGAACGATGCTGCACTGGTGGGAACGAGCTCGAGGGTTCTTCTGGCCTTTGACATGTACGTTCTGCTACACGCAGAGCCTTCCCCTCTTACTACGTCTCTTGCACTCTTCCGAGTGTAGAATCGCGGACTTTCGGTTGATCCCGCCCCTTGTCTCGTGGGCGTCATGCTACGCTTGCGGCTTGTATCTTCACTTGGGGGTACGGCATCACTCCAGATGCACCTTCTCTCGGCGTGAGACATTGAGCATTATTGCTGGGTCCAACCGAACGCACTGACCGATGACCGTGAATTTCTGGCGGTCTAATCTACTACTTATGTGTATTTTTTCCTACTTAGTCAGCGGGTGGTTCGTTTGGTCTCCCTCTGCAATCGTCATACCTCCTCGTTGAGGTTTCGCTTCTTCTTGTTATATCTGGCGTCGGCCTCATGCATCCTCTCCATCATTTCTTCAAAGCTGTCATATAACGGCTCGTCGCAAACGGGTCCTTGCTAAGGTTCGTTTCACGTTTCGTTTGGGCCGGAGAATAGTGGAGGACGGGTGGAGGTGCACGTGCTGGTCAGGCGGAATGCAAATTCCTCCATTTCAACACGGTTATTAGTGGTTTTGGGGATAAGCAGGGTAACGGTACTACATTTACCATGGTGGATTTTGATTTGCTCGAACAATGCCAGCGGGGGGATAGTTGTAGACATGTAGAGCGGGAGGAGCCCTGATTGGATCCACCCGTAGCTTTGTGAGAGGGAGAGGGTCGTATGAAAATCTCAACGTGTTCCCGAAGGTGGTGAAAGTCGTGCCTAGGCAGGCCACTTGTGCACGTATTTCCCGGGTTGTTTGCTTGCAACGGATCTTCCTCATGAGTTGGACCCCTTGCCGTGGTTGTTTACATGTCCAGGGCAAATACACTTTCTGTTCCTGCTCTATTTTCTGCTATTAAAGCAGTGACGAGATGGGCGATGGTAGACATTTTCCACCCGGGCAGGACGAACGGCGCCGCTGTCAGCGCGAGAGGCGAGCCGGGCAGGTTGTACAAGGATGGACACAGGAAAGTGTAGGCAGGCCTAATGAAGGAGTGGGTGAACCCAACGGTGGCGGGTACACTGTTCGAGCTGACCCTACGCATCAACCTTCAAGTCCCGTGCAGCGCATGCTTGTGTATCTTGCAAGGGTCCAATGGATCAGCTTGTACTCCACGGAAGAGGAAAACTGCGCTTTTTCCACGCCGTAAACCGCACGCGCGAAGTGTAGTCTCTTACGGCCCTAACCTCGCCAGGCCCTCGCTGGGATACAAGACGGACAAATTCTACTTCTACGTAGCAAGAAAGCGCGAATATGCCTGCACACGACGAGAAAAGTAGTGGAGTCCACGACAGCCATACCAATCGCGGCGCTTGGCTTACCGTTGGGATGTAGGGAGGCTCCACGTTCTTGGCCGCCAGACGCTCCCAGCTTATACCTTCAAGGAGTGGCGAGAAGTGGAACAACAGAGGAGGTGGAAAGGGTACACATGTATCGCGTATCACCAAGCAAGCCGTAGCGGGGTCTCCCATCTATCCTGCCGCCTCGAAGGAAGAACGTCTTCCCTCAGCCCGGCGGGATTCGGGACATGATCGACACAAAACAACTCTTTGACACGAACTATTATTTCCTTCGCCAGGCGATCCGCGGTACGCTCAACCCAAATCGGAAAGACGCGGGAGCTTTTGATATATGCGGTTGCACTTCCATCGATGTACTGTCGTCCTTCGATCACACCGCTAGGCTCGCACGTCAGATAGATAGCTAAGAGGCGTTCAGGTGGAACATTTGTATACCACAGCGAGTATCCTCTCGGTCCAAACGAAATTCGACTTGTCTCTGTCTAAGCACTGCAGGATATCCATTTGCGGGAGTCCGGCCCTCCCGTATGTGTGGTGCACAGAAGCGGCGAGATGCTTCGAGGGCATCGTAATTGTTAGCGCATGGAAGTTCAGGACAGAATCCGACCACCCCCGAACGGCCAATACCGAACCTCTCGCATGAACCACAACATCAAAATCATTAGGGGACGGTTATTCGAGAGTGATGATCCGCTTGTGTTCTTCCCGGCAAAAAACCGAGGGGTTTTCATGGGCTTACCCGCCATGAAGGCGTGAGACTTGATACCCTCCTTGCCGTTGGGTCCAGATCCCAGTCGCTCGTGAACGTCGTGTCGCAAAAGTGCGGACACGAAGGACACTGCAGCCTCAGACATGTAACGCGGATACTCCACCTGCGGAGTGATGTAGCGTGCGCACAGAAGAGCAGGGGTGGTTGCCTTCGACATAATGGAGGGCTACTATCAACGCCAACCGGACTCATCACTCGCTTGGAAGGGATTGCTTGGAAAAATGTCGACAGAAACGTACCTGGGGCACACAACTAGTGCTTGGAGGTGGACTTTTGAAAAAGTTTTCGCGTGACGAAAGAAGTGAGTAGGAGATTGTGACGAGAGAAGTGGGTACCGCATCTCCCAAAGCTCGAAGTGTACGAACGATCGAGATCAGCCTTGCTTAGATTTTCCCGGGGGTGTCGTTCATCTCTAAAAACGACTCTCAAGACATTCCTCACAATTTGCTACAGTAGACCTCGAATGCGTTCTCCGTATGAGAGAGAAACCCGTCGCACCGTTTTATCAAGAATTTGTTTTGTTTCTTCGAAAGAATCCTGCTTACCCTCGAAAGGATATCACAATGTGCCAGGCCTCCAATACGTTCTGCGTTTACTAGAGAAACGCATCGCCCCGTTCTCAAGAACCAGTTGCGGTGTTTTCCTGAAGACCCTCGCTCACCTCGGCCTGCAGCTTCTCGAACTCCGTTTGTCTCCGAAGCATGGCGATGACGGACTGCTTGCGCGCCCAAGGGGGGGGGTCGAAAGGCCGCGCCCCCGTAAGCATCTTGTAGACGGTGACCCCCAGTGACCACCAGTCCACCGCCTCGTTGTACCCCTGACGCTGATCGTTGCTCTGACGGTAGAAAACCATGATGGGGGGGAGGGAATCGAGAGAACGTGTGAAATAACGCTGGGAATTTCGTCCTGTGTCGTCCGGCGACAGCAGTGCGCCAAGCATTCACCAAAACGTGTATAGCCGGGCGATCCGAACAGATGGGACGAAAATTATTGTGCACGTGAATGAACCCTTTGACGGAAGGGGTTGTTCCTTGGATCATGGAGGAGATTACAACACCTGACCTACCAAAGATCACCTCTGATAACCGGCCGCCACCAAGCGCTTCCACCTTGGGTTGGCAGTTAAATCCATGACCCTAAGCAGATCGGTCCTCCAGGGCTTAGTCAACAAGACTACTCCCCGACGGCTCTGTTGCACACTGGGTCTCTTCGCACGCACGCAATCATGGACTTCACTCGCCTGGTTTAGAAGCTTGGCCATCTCTGGGGCCATGTACCCCTTGGTGCCCATGATGCTCCTCCTCTTGAAGTTCATCAGGGTTTCCCGTCGCTTCACCGTCGTCCCGTGCTTTCGAATCTGCGTCGCCAACAATCGTTGAATATGTCACCTACAATTGATCTCCTCTCTCTCTCTCTCTCTCTCTCTCTCTCTCTCTCTCTCTCTCTCTCTCTCTCTCNAGGTAAGATATTTGTTTGCTCTTTCTTGGCAAGGCATTTCGGTGTGTGGACTTGGTTGTTTGTTGCGTGTCTGACCGATACCTGCTGCTGGCTGGCTCTCTCTCTCTCTCTCTCTCTCTCTCTCTCTCTTTCTCTCTCGCTCTCTCTCTCGCTCGCTCGCTCTCTCTCTCTCTCGCTCGCTCGCTCTCTCTCGCTATCGCTCTCTCTCGCTCTCTCTCGCTATCGCTCTCTCTCGCTATCGCTATCGCTCTCTCTCGCTCTCTCTTTCTCATGGTCTTCGTGTTTCTTGCACCACGGGCGGCGCCACGAGTAAATATCAACAGCCATTCCACCACATTCGGCTCACTAAACGAGAATTGATGTCGTCATCACGACCACCACTGATACATTCAATAGCCCCGGGGGGGCTGCACACCTCTACGCTTTACCGTTGTGTTCCAGGCATCATGCTCATATACGCTAGTACATATCACGTCTTCGGCGCCACGTGAACCGCCTCGAGCCCCTGAGTGTCATGTCTTTATCAATAATCGCAACGCACCCTGGTTTCAACCTTTTGTCTCTCATTTTCCACCGAAACTCCAAGCAGTCTATGTGACCTTCGTGGTGTTGTCTTTAGCGTGTCCAGCGCAACCAACCCAGGTTCTAGATGAGAATGTCCTAAAGGTTATCTTGCTACTCGGGGAGTGGTCATCGAGCAGAGCGGGCTAGCTTATGGCACGCCTCGACAGAGACGAGAAAGGCTATAATGCCGGAGAGAATCGTGCGCCTTCCTGGTGCCCGAGCTTCCGAGTAGTGACAAGGTCAACAGAAACGGACAAAAATTCCGGCAACAACAACAACGACCACAACTCACTTTTCTTGCCGACATATCCCCGATGCAATCCCCAACGCCGCCCATATCCGCCAGCTGGATGTGCCCGTCCATCCCCAACATCACATTCCGGGGTTTCAAATCTCTGGTAAGCCGTGCCGGTCGAGGGGGAGAAAAGGCAGAGCACCAAGGGCGTTAATTACGGGGGCAGGGTTGAAGAACGCATGCATTCCCCTGTTGAAGATGAGTGGTCTTAAGACTGGGCGGGACATTCTACCGTTACGCAAGCAAGATTCATGCCATGCCGCCCGGCTGCTAGACATGAGTACTTGTCGTTTCGTTTTCGTTTTGGCCGTCCGGACAACTCTCGCAGAAACCCTGCAGCTTTCTTGGATCCACGCGCTGCACGCTCTCGATTCCATCCAGGCCTGTTCATGAACGGCCGCCAGCCGCGACGGAAAGAACACACCTCTACTGTACATGGTGCTTTGGTCAGGACCTGGTGTTGGTCCTGGTTTATGGTGCACACTTTCACCGAGCTTTTCACCTCTCTCAGCAGAAACCAATGGCTGAATGGAGGTCAAAGGTCGAGTAGGTCGTCGTCGAGCGTCGCTGACAGGCGTTCCAACGGCCGCCTCATTGGAGAGTAGATTGCGTCCTCGCATGAAAGTATATACTCCGTACGTAAGATCTGACAGCACTGCTTGCCGCACTTGAATTTCCTGCAAGAAGCCGCACTTATTTGGCCGGTCACCTTGCGCGAGAGATTCCCTCAGGTTCTCTGAGTCGTACCAGGTGGCCGGTATATGGCCTGCCAAATCACTTGCACTATGCGGCCATTTTCCGGGAACCACACCCTGTCACTTCTTTTGGTGAGGAGAAAAAAACTTGCCTGTACATGAGCCCCATGTCGTGCAGATGTATCAGGGCTAATACAATCTCCGCGGCATAGAACCTCGCCCGGGGTTCGTTCAAACGTTTCTTCGGGGAGGAATCGATCGCATCCTGCAAAACCAAGCATGCGCCGCCTTTGTCCGTGTTGAAGAGTTCATTGCGATATTGTGTCCATGTCCTGCTCGTTTCGATTCGTCTCTCTCTCGAGGAAATATACTCTCCGCAAGACAAGCGTAGGCTATGGCTCGGCGCGCAACGGTGGGCTGTCTCCGTGAATTTTGTCACGACTAGGCAACCGTGGTCTCCTGCTGACCATGCGCCTGCTTTCCGTAGAGCTCAGAGGTTGTGACTAACGTCAAAGAGAGGATCGTGCCGATGCAACTGGACTCTATTGACATTCGGCCCCTTTGTCTCACGACCAAACTACATTCCTGGGTTTCTTACATGCGTCTCTCCTAATCCTATGAAAAACTCTTGAAATCTCTCAGCTCGGTGCATTCTTCCATTAAACGACTCTCTGTTGCACCGTGGCCGCTAAAGCAAAATCGATTTCGACAACGACAAACCGCGCTGCCGTGGGCCGTGCGTGCGTGCCTGCCTGCCTGCGTACCTAACCCTAACCCTAACCGTAACCCTGACCTGGAGGTTTCCCGTGGTGACAAGGTTAAGCACGATAATTGCGTGCAGCTCGGTCTGGAAGGCATAGTCCATCTGAAGCACGAACGGATGGTTGCACGCCTGGAAGACCATCTGTAATTTTTTTTTTCGAAAAGAAGATCGCACGAACAGAAACACGTATGGTATGATGGCTACTATTTTGCGCCAATCGCGCTCCCTTGTAATTGACCGGCGTGGTGCATCGGCTGTTTGTGTACTCGGTGAAAAATGACTCTATGGCGTTCGAAAGCCCAATAGCCTCAGTATCGTGTGCATGCACGCGTGAGTTTCCCCCTCTCTCTTGTCTCCCTCTCGCGCTAGCTCCTCTCTCTATGTGTACATTCTCTTAGGCAAGGCAAGACAACCGCCTTGTCGCACAAGGCGTTATCGGGCCTGACTTCAAAACCGATCAGACCTCGCCCTGTAACGCAGCATGTTAAACGGTTCACCACGAAAAAGCCGCTCGGACCTTCTCGTTGTCGAGGCGCGATAGACTTCGCGCGAAGCTTCTCAGCAGCTCCGTCTTGTGCTGGATCTTCATGGCGTAATGTCTCCCGGTGCTCTTCTTCACGACGTGCACCTGCCAGAGAAGGACCGACGTTCGTAAGATTCCGCAGATACAATGGATTCACGAGGCAACCCGCCAGAGATATGGAGGAACGCCAAACTTGCATGATGGGGGCAAACCTATCAACGGGACCGCGTGGAAGCTCGGTGTGTGGTGTAGAACCAGATTTGTCAGCGATGGCGGTGGTTGGCTGGTTGCTCAAGAGAACGCCCATCGCACTGCCGTCCCCTCGCATTTCAACACGAATGATGCGTCGTGGATGAGAGAGGGACAAGGGTGTTGACGCCCAGACTTTCCGCCTCCCTCAAACGAACGAGCACCAGCACGAATACGAACACCCGGTTCTTGTCACCGATCGGCACTCACCCTCCGATCTCATCCGTCCCTCGACATGGATGGGCGCCCGGCCAAGGACTCACCACTTTCCCAAAGGCGCCCTCCCCCAGCTTCTCCATGTACCAGAAATCGTTCACGTCTATCCTGTTAAACCGTGACGCTCCTTCCTCCTGATAGGCCTCGTACCTGAGGGGAGGAAGTTCGGAGAGACGCGACGTAGGTGTGAGCGTCGCGCGTTTGGTTGATTCCATGTACGTGCCTCGTCGGCTACACCCCATCGTCGTCGTGAGAGAACTGTCTGGCGACGTCCTATTGGTGGGCCTAACGTTAGACGGCGTTGCATTTCACGTCGTGCGAGCGAGAGGGGCGACGAGTGTCGCCCCCCTCAAAGCACGAAAACGGATGGGTGTGACAAGTGAATCATGTCGTTATCCTCATTGTTGATGACACGGAACATTAAGCAAAGGGTACCCGTCGCGGCCATCTCGTCCCGTTTGGCACACGAAGGGGTATTGTTGGAGGTGAGCAATATTCGGTTTGTTATCAGTCTTTTACAAGATTCTCGTTGGGAGACCCATCCGCGGCCCTTGGTCCCACCATCCACTGTACTACCACCGATGGGGTGTCGAATTTAGAGATACGTTCAACGAAATCCTAACAGTCTCGAAGATGACGGGATCGAACTGCCGGTCTACCAAGTCCAATAGGAGACCATCTCCGTGTCCGTTATTCTCCACGCTTGCGCGTACAGCACCGCCTGGCGGGGCGCCTTTTTCTCTGGTTTTACAAGTCACCAATCCATGCATTATGTTAAGAAACAAATGCTCAGCGGAAAAAAACATATACACCCAAACATCACGGAAACAAACCCTCCAATGCTGACGCGAACCCCACTCTCTCTGTCATCTCGTTTGTCGGCAACTCACCGGCTAGCGTAGTTCTTCTTGAGCTCCTGAAAGGTAAACTCGAAGATGTGGCGGAAGCAGACCTTCTGCACTTCCAGAAAGAGGTCGGGTCCGAGCAAGTTTTTGTCCTCCCGGGCCTGGTTAGTCGGTCGGGATTATTCACAAACACGAAACATTCGCTCACGGACATGTTCGCACAGTAGCAGTACCGTTTCGGCCCGCTCATATGAGATGTCTTCGTCACCAGCAGTGGAGGCTCGTATGATTTTCCAAGAGTTGCAGTACAATCGCTCGAAGACTGATACTCGTTCGACGGCACGAAAGCACAAACCAATAAAACGTGTCGGAAGAAACTGGGCTCACCCGCCGGCACTGCACTGTAGATCCCAAATGTCAGCCTGGCGATGGTCTGTGCTCAGTCGTTGAGACACGCTGGAAGGTTCTACATATATTGCTCAAGACAGCAAGTGCTCCTGCCAACGGGCCGGCAGGGTATTGAGAACTCGAGAACGAGGAGCTTTATACGCTGCACGCCACACACAACCACAACAATATTTTGGAATCGTTCATTGACTGCGGTATTGGTATGGTAGTATTGGCGGTTTTCGGTGGAGAACAAGTTGTTGGGCGTTCAAGTTGCTGAAGAATACAAGAACGCGTGACCTGCCGCCCTATGCCTGTGGAACACAAGAACACCATGAAGCAATTTTTCGACCTTGGAATCGGCTCCGACAACAGCAGCAGCCAGCACACCCTGTTCTTCTCCGCCCCATATGACGTGTGGTCGGTTGAATCGAAATGGCCGAAAACAAAGGAGTAATTTCGTTTTTTTCGGCAGTAGTCCTGACGAGGCTTTGATACTTTCCGATGAAGCAACAACAAGATCAAGCCGCAGATATCAAACATCCCAAAATTCATCTCCTTGCAGACATGCATCACACCTGTTCGGGGCTATTATCTAGCCGTCGGTACCTCCTGCTGACCTCCCCGCCCTCACATGCTATGGCGTTCTCGCAACTTGAAAACAATGAGTACTCGAAACCACAATGAAACATACCCACCCACAATAGACTATAGCACACCCACTTTTCTTGACGCGAACGTTAGAGAAAAAAAGCGGCACCCAACGCTAATCCCAACTCTCTGTTTCAAGTGATTCCCGCACCTGATCGAGGCAATTGTAGATCTCCTCGCCGAACCCTTCCGGAAGAAAATCCAGAGCCGTGGGGGATGCTCGCAGGTACTTTCCAAATATCTGGTCAACAAAGGTATTGTGTACAAGCAAGCGCACCGCGAAGGCCATGGCACCCAATCTCAAGACATGGTTCGGTTGGAAAAAAAAAACTTCAAAGAATGATGAATCCCCGGGGACCTTCCGGTGGTGTGTCTACTCGTTTATGTGTGTCTCCTGCAACAGTCCTGTTCACATGCCTCATGAATGATGAATTTGTCCTTTGTCCGTTTCTCAGATTTGTGTGCAAACCCGCCCATGCGGTAACGGTACGAGTTTGTTGCTGGGGTAAAACGAGCAACGTTTTTCCCTAAGTTATCGGCGCTTGCTTGTCGTTGATAGGTTGTGGTATTGTCACGCATTTGGAAAAGTGTTTCGCTGCGGGCAAGCGGAGTGCCCCCCGAGGACGTGAATTTTTTCTTCTTCGGACTGGGTAGACAGGTAGAGGAATAGGTGTTTAGATTGAACATCGGATAGATACAGAGGGGGGATCATTGCGTGTTTCTTGGCACGAGGGGGCCCTGGGGGTGACGTTAGTGCCATCGGGGGTGGTAGAGGCACGCCACCGTACGTGCAGAGCCCAGAATCCTCACTAAATGTTGGGATGGAGGGGAAGCGCCAGTCGTTTCGCTGAGAGGACAGATTGTGCGCTGCGAGGCGTAAGCAGGCTAGGTGACGTGCCTCGAACTTTACGAGTAAGAGTGTCTTTCTCCGTTGGATGCGTACGTCAGGAAAGCTTCAGAAGAAATAACCGTTCCAGCACAGAAGGGGTTCTAATCCGGGGGTCGTTTCGGAAGGCCTTGCGGTATAGCCTCACCGGCGTCGACCGGCACGGAAAAAAAACACTGCAAGTACGTCGAAAAAATCACGAGTATGACCCGCCCCTTGGGGCAAACTGTTCATTGTTGCAGCAGGGGCGAAGATTTGGGAAGGCCTGTTCGCTGCTTCTGTAACCAAGCCCGGCTATTATGCAACCGACCGTTGTTCCTGTGCCTTTCACCCTACTCGTCTACTCGTCTACTCGTCTACTCGAACGACATGGAATCGACCGTTGCTGCTGTTGGTGTTGCTTGAGTTTGCGTTGCGGGCTGGGCGAGTGCGATCGATGGCCCTTCCGAGAGCCATTTTTGCTGCATCAGCGCGGTGTACAGCGCACGACGTCGCCGGGATCTCGAATTTGTGCACTCCTGACACCCTCATGGAAATAAGATGAATATATATTGTGGGGAGGCACTGCGGCAGGGCCACATGGACCGCACAATGGACAACAGGAGGTACTTTCAGTCGAAAATCCACTCAACAATCATTCACTAACCAAGTGCTTGCAGAAATGCAAGAAACTCTAAAAGAGTGGTCCAGACGCATCTCGAAAGGAAGTGCCACCCGACGGGCGAGAGCGGGAACAGCGGCGGAACATACATTCTGCTTCTGGCGGACAACCGCTGCTTTTTCAAGGGTCCCGAGAGAAGCAAGGCACAGAATCAATCGTCGCCACCTGCTTAGCCTTGGTGAAGCGGTAGTCCACCGTTGGGATCGCCCGGTACTCCTGGATATCGCTCCACGCGAATAACACGTGCTGCGTCCCGATCTCCATGGAAAACCTTCCCAGAAAGTTCTGGCCGGCTGAAAGCCGTCGTCGCCGTCGTCGTCGTCGTTGTTCGTCGCCGACAACGTCAGTGGATCGAATTTCCGCAAAAATAGCAGGTCGCCGGGGAGAGGGCGGGGATGATAAAGGGTGTCAAGCGCAGAAACATAGCAGCGAAGCTAGGGTGAGTGCTGCCAATGGGACGTTCTTTGCAGTGTAACGAATCATCGCACAGGAGAAAACAAAACGTAACACACCCTTGCATTTCACGGTCTTCACCGAAACGAATACGTTCTCGCCTACAATTTGATGTTACAGCCGGTCCGTGGTTGTCTGCCCACTGAGGGATCACGATGGTGCATGCTTGGGTTCGTTCGGTTAGTGGGGGTGGCATGATCGAGATTCGGGCTGTACCTAACCAGTGGTGAGTCAGACGGTTTCTTCCGAGCTAGACCAGAGGACGTCGCTTTGGGTGGTGAAATTCAGAGTATGGATCATCCCTTGTCACAGTAACGATGCTGACGGCAACCATGGCAACGACGACGAAAACAACAACAGCAACAAAGCCACAGCAGCAGCAGCAGCAGCAGCAGCGATTCCGTTGTCCACCCTCACCAGGGCTGTGCAGCATGGCCAGTAGCTCGACGTACTCGGTGATGTCCTCTCGGTCGTCCGGCAGGATGGGGCTCTTCGTGAAGTCGTCGTGATAGCCCTCCTTACGCCACACGGTTGCGTGTTCCGTCGCCCGGCTCTCGGGGACTTCGCCTAGGGTACTGGGGGCGTACATACACAGCGCGATATTATATCTCTTTATCTGGGGGAGGCTCGTTTCTCATTTTGCCTCTGGGGTACGGCCGGGCGATTATTTATGTTATTGTGTAGACGTTTTTACGGAGCACCTGTGCCAAGTTCTTTGGTTTGGATTTTTTAGGATCCAATTCTTAACTACTAGATTCTTAAGTTGTGGTGCACTCTGTATATAGTGCAAAGCGCGAAACACGGACATTATGCCAAATTTCGGAAAGTGTGTCTAGAAAATTGAGTATATATTTCTGGGTTAGGGATGTGATTCCGAGATGTATGGACTCATGCGTTTTCTACGATTGGGGTGTCACACATGCCAGAACCTTTTCAATATCTTGGGTATGCAATACATGCACCAAGCTTTGCAACTTTGTCCATACCAAGCTATTTTCTTGGGCATGCATTGTTGTGTTACAGAACAACGTTTGGCGAATCCCTTTGTGGAGCGGGCTAGGCCGTTAAGCAGGAAAATATCCCGTCCTGGGCGTGTAGTTGGGGTTCGTGCCAATTTGGTGCAGACAGCTGTTGCTCGTCAAAATCGATGAGATTCAGTGATTCTTCCGCCTGCCTCCCTCGGTACTTGGACCCGGGGGGTCTCGACAGGGCGTCCGGCAGAACTGCAATCTCTTTGCCGTCAACGCCCTCTGAGAAGACTGGTCATCGTCTGCTTTGTGTTGTGGCGAGCAGGCAGCCCAGCCCACCCAAAAATGTTTTCCCACCAAAGAATCCCCTGCGCATATTCCAGCGACGCGGGGTAGGTCTATTTTGCGGTGTGTTTCGTTCAAGTTTCCATGCGTTTGTTGTGTCATTTGGCGAAACAAACGGTGTGGAGTGTCTCCGTCTGTGATGTTGCAGCGATTTGAAGGTCTTCAAAGAACATATTGTGACCAACAGGCACATCCGAGAAAAATGTACCACAAAATCGTCCCCGCTGTTGTCACCACCAAACAAACCCGTGAGGTTGATTCCTCGCGACCTTGGGAATGGTCAGCGTAGAGTGACACGGTGAAGCTCGTGGCGGACTACTGCAACAGAAAGTAGGGACAGACCTGGCCTATTAACTTGAACGTGGGTCAAAGCACCTTGATTTTCCTTTGAGAGGGTACTCACTGGGAAATTTTTTACGTTTGGCCAGGGCGACTCGGGACTTAAGTTCGTGGTTGCTATGGGGCACAAGCTCGGCAACCGGCTTCAAGTAACCTTGGAGGTCTGACGCCAACTGGTTCCAGCCTTTCGGGGTATGAAACTGGCCCCGCCGTTGGTTGGGTAATTGCATGGCTACACCCTGCAAGTAAGTTTCCAGCGGTGTCGGCCAGAACCGAAAGGAGAACGAAATAGAGAATAGCTGGGTGTCTGTTGGGCAATGTGATTGATCTACAGCCGCATACGGTTGGCTTCCAAGGTAAGCTGCGCAACCTGCTCGGCAGAAAATGTATAAGGCCGTGGATAACAGCCACATAATCTCGTCTGACTACAATATCGAGCGAGCGAAGACTAAGCCCGGATCGACCAATGGCGATAATGTTTCTCCTGTGGGAACCATGCCTTATGGGAAAAACTTTGAATTGGGCATACTTTTTTGAAGGATTCCGGGACTTGTTTGCTGCCCTGCCGTCCACTCTACCAACAAGTGGGAATTTTGTCGAACGGAGTGTCATCCCATCGTGGTGGTCGTACCCCGGCATTGCGGTACGTGAAAAGCGCCGTGGGCACCGCCCTCGTACCATGTCTGTTCGCCGACCCAAGTGAAACCAGCTTCAAGCACAAGAAATAACGCAGTGGCCGGCCGATGAGTACCTTCGGAGTCGTACCGCCCACCCTGACGGTATGTACGGCATGTGTTCGTGTGGTGCACTCACACGCGGTCACCAACCGACAGCTTTAGCTGACTGCCCGATCGTCAAGACCACGACATCATTTGAAAACGCTGGCCGCAGTGGCAGGAAGCAAAAGACTTCTCAAAATCAAACAAAAGACTTGTCGATATCAATGGCGGCTTGTGCCTATCCTGTGGTAGAATCTCGGGAGGCACCGCGCCCTAGCCCCCTCCGTACCTTGACTGGTGAACCTTGCTTGGCGCACCTCCCATCTCTCCCACTCTCCCTGCCGTGGTGCCAAGAGCGTGGCACCAGCTCGAACGCTAACCTTCTCTGCGACTTCTCCGACAAGAGAGCGCTTCCGTCGGGATGGAGGCAGCAGTTTTTCTCTCATATGCAGGGAGGAGCGAACCTTGGGGAAGGGTTTGTTGGTGCTGCTGCTCCGATTCAATGTTGTAGCTTAATCACTCCCGCTTTCGACGCCGCAGCGTTCCTCCAAATACACTTTCTACGTGGACAGCCGTTGTCCTTCCGATACAAAGACAGCCCGTTCCTCGAAGGCTGCCTCTCTCGCCTGCTTGTTAGTCGTGTGTATGGGTGTACGCTCACGCAGTTGTGAGACTCCTCCTTTCTCCGGACGCTGTCGGCAAGCACCCTCGCCAAGCACCTCAAGCCGTTTGCTCCTTCCCGGGGTGGGGCTTCTCAGTTTCCACGATACTCTCTACAGTACACGAACACGCCCTTCCGGGAGCCCTGCAATCCCCGATCCTTCCACCTGGTCGCCTATTTAGGTCGGAAAAACTAATGCCAAGCACGGCGTGGGCTGTTGCTCCACAGGTCAACAGGACATCAAATCCTCTGCCACTCTCGCGCCACGTCAGTTCGTCACGGATGACATAAAACCGAAGGAAGGGCTTTCCGCGGTATCGCTGGGAGTATATCCGTGCTGGATCACTCGCGGTGCTTAATGCGTTACTCACTTGTCCGCCTGTCGTGTCGAATACTGGCCAGATCTCCGGTTGTTGCTCTTGCCCCCATGCGCGCACACCAGATGGACCCTACTTATGCGCGCGTTGGTCGGTATGCGACGTGGAACAGCGAATGTACGTACACTCTGGCGCAGCTTGTGCGGGAACATCAGCGTTCCAGTCTGAGGTGGACCATCACGGCTAGTTGGGTGAGTGTCGCGCTATGGTACCTCTTGCCTTCTTTAGGTTACCAGGAGTCCTGTGGCGAAAGTCTTGCGTGGATTAGTGGATCGTTATTCGTCAACGGAGGCTCCAAACTTCGCTCCACGATGGCGAACCGGCGGCAGTTCACCCGCATTGTGACATCAGGTTGGCGAATCTCGCCGCGTGTACGTACATTCTGTGTTTATTTTTTATTTTTCGTTAACACACACGTCGTACATACCGTGAGCGTTCCCAATTCCAAAAAAAGGCTCAGAAAAAACAAGTAAACCACAGAAAGACTACCCATTCGAGATATACCCACAGTCGAACGGGATGTGGTGGAGTCTTTTCGGTGAGTGGAGGAAAACCGGCTGGGTGCTGGACTTAAGTCTTTACAAGTCTATGATTCATATCAGTGATACCAGCTCAGTGATACAAGCTGGTGCTAAGTACAACATCTATACAGGTAACCTTCATTTGACGATACATCCCCTGCAGTTTTCTACTGTCGGGGAGAATCCCTTCATTATGTCTTGTGTCGTAAAATATGATGATACGAAGTCTCCTTGGGTGTGCATCTGGATGGTGGAGACGCACGTGTACTGATTTGAAGCGTTGAAGTCCTGTGACTTTCGTCCGTTTCCAAGACGACCATCCGTCTCAGAACTGGGGCGGACAATGCGATAGCAGTCGTCGCATTGATAAAGCACATGCAGCGAAAAAAACGGGTGCCGTGAAGGAATCTGCCGCTAATGCGCTAGCCGTTGCGGCAAGCTGTGGTAACTTTGGCTTGCCAAGACGGGGGTGTTGCAAGCTCATGCTCAAAAGAATGAAGTGAACCCTTGAGTGACGCTTGCCTCTACCGCCGTGCATGTGCAGACTGAGCGTGTTGACGCGCCCGCTCATCCTTCCAACAGTTCGGAGACGGGGGAAACACTTGGCAGCGAACATAAACGCCATGGTATGCTACCAATCTGTAGTTTCCTTGTTCAACATGGCTTGCGTCGTCCCACACGGTCGCAGGGGAACTGATCCCCTACTTGATCGGGATACGGCCGCCTGATCAGCGCGAGGGTGGCCCAAAGCAAACAGGGGAGAAGATTTCGGCAATCTCTGAAAGCATAACCATACCCCCGCCACCTTTCCCACACCCGAGGTATTTGTCGTCAGCCTCAAACGTACACAACAACAAAAATGGGGGGTGCGCATGTCGCGCGTGCTTCTGGGACAAATCGCACGGCTGGGAAAGTACACGATGGGTTGATTGATCTTGACACCTTGGAGAGGGCCTTCACAGACGTGGCTCGTGCGCCGCTGTATAGTCGTCGCGATATACCACACACAACTTCCACTCTGCTGTTGCCGCCCAGAAGCGGCCGACGACAACCAAAGGGAAAGCCACTCCCAAAGCATTCCTACCGCTAGCTGCAACTATGCTACGCTGGGGTGGAGGTGGGGGTGGCGGTAGGAAAGGTATTATGACATATCACCAAAAACTAACGGCAATCAAGGGTGACAGCAGGAAAGGCTGTGTGCGATCATGTAAACCCCCCCTCCCTCCTCCTTGAAAAAGACGACTCGCCGTGCAACACCGTACTCCGCGCGCGCATGTCAATGCATCCGCACAAAAAAACGCCCAAACCAATCAAACAAAAAGCCGTGCCAACGACGAGGCCTCCCGGACCACCGAGAAATCTACCTAACAGAGCTTCGGCCTGCTTCACCCCGAACACAATAAACAATAAAAACTATCCTTCATCTCGGTTGCGGCGGCACAAAAAAAGCCTCCCGAAAACCTAGAAACCTACCTACTTACGATGATGCCTGGTTCTCACACATCGATGATCAAAATACACCATCCCTTATCGTGGCTGCTGCTGCTGCTGCTGCTGCTGCTGCTGCTGCTGCTGCTGTGCCTTCGTGGGAGTGGTCGATTGCTCCGATAAGGCGGAGGCGGCGACGGCTGCGGTGGCGTTGCCTGTGCTTCGCGCTTTCTCCGCGACGCTCACCAGGTCCAGCACCTGTCGGAGATTCCCCGTCGCCACCAGCCATTCCTAACGGGCAACCGCAAACGTCCACGACGGCTGAAGTAGTTAGGTTAGGGACGGGCATTCGATGCTCGCCGTAGTAAGGGCAAAGAATGACCACGCATTCCCATTTGGAGAAATGAGTACCGTTCCTCGCACGGTGCTTCTTTGCTCCCGACTACGACAATCACAAAACATTTTTGGCGATTTTCGATGTTCATGCTAGCGATAACAGAAATACACAACCTAACCCAAGCCCTAACCCATACATGCGAAAAACCCACCGTAAAGCGCCCACGGATGCATTCTTCCAGCTCTCGGTTCTGCCTGGGCGTGAGATTCGCGTCGACGATGGCCTGGTGCAAGCCCTCCACGGCCGCTTCCCTGGGCGTTCCAAGGGAGGCGGAAATGGGGAGGAGTGCATGCCTCGCACATGAAAATACCGCTCAACACCGGAGGGATCTCGGGGTATGTGATGGGTCGACGGGGGGTCAGGCAAGAGCTCGGTGTGACTTGACATACTGAGAGCGTCCGCACTTAAGAAGCTCTTGTTGACGGAGGCTGGTGTTCTTACAGTAGAACCTCGCGTGGCCTACAAACGGCCGGCATATAGGATTTAGTATAGGATTCCTAACCAGGATCACAAATCGTGCTCAAGGTCCTTGATTGTAGTGTGTACTCGGGTACGTAGGGCCGACAGGAAAACAAACAACGTTCCTGCCTTCGAGACCGAACCCACGGACGACAAGAAACGATTTCACAGCACTCACCCCGCATGACATAAACAGCACGAGCTGAAATTGTTTCTTGATAAAAAAAATCCAACACGACCGTCCCTGCTGAAAAGATTACAATACACGTTCGATATTATCTCCCAGTCGACGAGAGGTGTCTAGTATGTATTTCGTTGTGGAACAACGATGTTGCTGCTGCTGCTGCTGCTGCTGCTGTTCAGATGCTGTTCGGCCAGAGAAAAATTTCACAAATATAAACACGTTAGTCATTGTGCAACAGCGCTGCTCCTCGCGGATGCTGCTGTTCGGCTACAGAACAACTTCACATGTGCATATATACTTCATTTTGCACCAACGCTGCTGCTTGGTGCTGCTGCTGCTGCTGCTGCTGCTGTTCACCAAGAGAACAGCAAGGTCTGTCGTCGCACCTCTCTTGCAGGACAGCGGCGTACTCGGAGGGCAGTCCGAACGGATTTTCCGCCGGGGGGTCCCCCGCGTTGTCTGGGGGAACCGGCACCGCCAGCGTGTAGAACTGCCAGGAAAAGGGGGATCGGGGGCAAGACGGAACGATCAGAAAAATAATAGAGCTGGCACCGTCAGAGCGTACTCTCGAACTCCATCTCCGTCGCACATACAGGCGCCCTCCTCCTCATCAACGGGACTCCTCCCCATTCTCAGGCGAGAGAAAGAGAGGCGAGGTGTGTACACACCAGCCAACCGAAGAGCACTCACAGAAAAAGCAACCGAGCTATGCATAGCATACCCCAAGCATCAACCAAACACTCACCCCGGTTCTCGAGCGAGCGAAACAGAGCGTCGGAAAGTGTGTACCGTACGCACGCACACCCAGCCGAAACAACCACCACAAACAACAGCAAGGAACGCCCAAACAACCAGCCAGGCCCTGTGACAATGAAGTGCCAAACATCAATATCGGAAAAATAAAATAAAAAAATAAAAAAACGGCTCTGTTAGCCTGGGAAAACAAGAAAATATATGTTCCTTTTTTGTTTCATCAGTTACACACTGGAATGACGTCCGACGACTTTTTCTCTTTAGTCAAGAAAGGAAAGTTGAGCTTATCCGGAACTCCGAACGGCGTTATTTCTTGTCTTCGACCAAATCACCTGTTCGGGTGGCATTATTGCCGAGGACAGGTCGTGACCCAAACCTCCCAAGCCGCCCTTCGCGCCGCCGGGTGACCTGCTCTTCGCCCTCGAGGCTGACGACGTCGGCGTGCCTGCTGGCAAAGAACGATTTCAACGGCAGCGAAAAAGAAGAAATGCCTGTTGGTCATGCGTGGGTCCATTGCTAAGATATCCTGGACGCTTATCTCTGCATAGATGTGGATTCGTCGCGTGACACACAAACAAAAACGGTTTCGGGAATAGTTGACCTGTCCCGGCCGGACTCTTGTGGCCGTGGAAGAAATGAATTTGTGGCGTGTCGTTATTGAAACAACAACAACAAAAAAAACGAAGAGATGATACCAACAGTCGCGACACTGCTGTCGACCGCAGCAGCAGCAACAACAACAACAACAACGATAACAGCACCAAGCGCCATGTTTCCGTCAGGGGGCGGGCGGAGGAGGGTCGGTTTGCATGTCCATGTCGCCCGCAAACACCCATGCTCGGCGAGAAAAGGGTGCCGGGTAAGGTGGTCACTCCCCTTTGCGGCAAAGCAAGAAGATATGTTGCGGCACACAGGAGCGCAGGGGACACGCGGGGAGGAATCCAACGAGCTTGCAAGATCAACTACAACCGCCGACCACCGGCAATTTTTATTCCCCGCATCGCAGAGGTCCGGGCGCTCCATCTCACTCCGCATGTAGCGCAGGAACAGATGCTTAACATTGATCCGGGTGGACTAAGCCAAGAACCTAGGGCCGTTCGCGTGCAAGCATCCAAGCGTTTACCTGTAGGTGACATGACGTAAGATACCACACCCCGTAGACCAATTTTCAAAGCTCGACTACTTCCATGACGGAGCGAAGATGTCAATACACCAAGGCATGCCCAAAAAAAGAAAGCTCTCGACAAGGCGATGAGGCTTCCAACGACTCCATTCTTCGGCAACACAACTTTGTTCTGCTGCGAGTAATCGAGCTTTGGGCATCGGTCAGTCCAAAGGGGGCGTCTCATCTTACGTCATGTCAACCACAGGGACTACATGTCCGTGTTGTGTTTGTCTCTTTTCTTCTGCGGCCGGTCTACCCACATGTCCGTGAATCATGAAGCTTGGGCCGGGGTGACAAAGGAGAATGTCACACAGGGACCTTCTCTTTTCAATAACTTGTCATCTTCCCTTCGTGTGAGAGCGTTTCCTCTTGTGGCATTGCATCTACTCGGCACACGAAAGAACAGCCAGATACATAGCCGAACCTGCAGCCATGGAGGGCATGCCCATCATCGACGCCTCCACAGGGTTTCCCCACAGGTTGGCCGGAACTTCGTCTTCCTCCTCTCCCAACAGACCGGCGCGCTGCAGGTGGGCCTGGCAGAGACAGGGGGTACAGGGTGGGGGTGTACTGGTGTAAACGAATACCTGATACTGCTGTACAATGCGGTAAACCACAGACCTTGGGGGGGGCGGGTATGCTCTCATATTTTCCATGCCCTAGCGGTTAGACCATTGACCACGCGTCCTCGAGAGGACGGAGCACTGTTCTCATAGGACCGATCGCCGATGGCCAATCGTTCCTTCCTGCGATACCGAAGGTGGCTCAAAAATGTTTTCCCTACCCCATCTATCCATTGCCAGATCAGGTGTATTCCGCAGCACGCAAGGATTGGCCGCGAGGCAATAGAGGGCTCGACGATCACGTACTTCTCCCCAAACCGACGGCCAACAGAAAGGGGGAGGCATGCACACACCAAGCGAATGCCACACAAGAAACCACCCCCTCCTCGAAGAGACTTCCGTGAAGCTCGACATCTCCACATCAGCGAGGGCTACACTCGTTGTGGACAATTTTTCGCAGCTCGATATGTACATCTCGAAATCGGCGAGAGTAAGACCACCCCCCCGCCCTACAGCATGCCCCACAGCTCGATAAACCTCCAGACAGGCGAGGGTGAGAAACACACCCGGGCGACACGTCTCCGGAAGACGGGTCAAGGTTTCCATTGCACCTCTCCAATCCCGCGCTGTTGGTACAGTATCGGACGCCCCCCACCCCCCCAAACTCTCCTCGCCGTACGAAAACATCGAGCCGTCAGAGAAAAATCGGCATGGGCGGCATCAAGGCCACCACACTATGAGCAGCCGGCACCAGTCCAGACCCGTCGCCCCCCTCCGTCCCATTCACGGGGGGGCGTGGAATCTTTCAGACAATGTGCGGTACAAAAAATCAACAAGCGGCAAAAATCGCTACCGGACCGAAATACAACTGCGATCCCCAAAAATTAAGGAGATCCTCTTCACAGAAGAGTACATACACTCTCCCTACGTCTGTCGAGGGCTGTTTCCTTCTTTTCACATTGGCGTCGACGAAAACCAGGGTTCGGATCCGCCACACGCCATCATTTCTAAAAAAAAAAAAAGAAAAATGGTGGGGGACAAAAACCAGAATTATCTCCCATCCACCGCCACCTCCGCCCCCGCCGCCGCCGTACCTTGTGTCTCGGGTAGCACGAGTTGTAGGGGGCGAACTGACAAGCTCGGTTGTCCCCGCAGAGCACCGGCGGTGTGGCGACGAAGACCGGGAATATGCACTCCAGGGAGTTGGTGACCGTGAGACGGCGGCAGCAGGTCACCAGCTGCATGCGCTCGCACTCCTCCACGCGAACCTGCAGAAAAAAAAAAAAAAGGAAGGGTTACTCCGCGCGAAGGGGCGGGCGGG